AACCTTCTTACAGTCTCTAGTTTCCAAGAATCTCTCTTACTTTACCACCAGCTTAGCTATTCATCTTAAAGGAAATTTCTAATATCAGATCCTCATATTTTTAAGTGTTCTGTAGTTTAGGGGGTTTCTTGGACCTCTATTTCCCCATAATACATGGAAAATAACTCCTCCCTCTATCCTTCCTGTAAAGCAAATCTCAGGGCTATAGCAGAGGCTAGAACAAGGGCAGGCTGTTTGAGAGGCAGTTCTGGAAAGCACAAAATAATAACTATTTTATTTTGAAGGAGTGAGTCTAGAAAGTAATAACTCACATTGGGATCTTGAGGCAGTGAGCTTCTTGCACAGCTAAAATTAGACCGGATCACTGGGGACCCGCGTTGGGGGTAGTGGGTTTCGCATGGGTAGGCAAGTTGTGGGGGTATGCACGTGTCCCTGCGTATGTCCCCCTGGGGTTGTATCCATCCTAGTCTGTTTCCAGATTAGAATTGCTTCTGATCAGGGAGTGTGTCTCGACTACACAATAACCTCCCTGTTGATATACTGAAGTCCAACTTCCAGTTCTTGCTTTTTCATTCCCGAGATTTTTGAGTAGTCTGGAGTTGCCTCCCCATTTATGGAAGGAACATGGTACAGCCCAGAGAACTCTGGCAACTCAGGAACCCCAGGTTCTTAGCCCTCACTCTGGTCCTCATTAACATTCTCCCTTTTTCTCCTCCTGGTTTCAAACAAAAGAAATAAAAAAAGCGGGGAAGAGAAAGTGATGAGGCAGATGGACCACGTTCCATTTTCCCCGTCATACAGGGAGAGCTGTGTGTTCTCAGACATCAGCCCAGGCCCAGCCTGATGGGATCTTAGTTTCAGGTCTACCTCTATTGTATTCTCAGGTTGTGTAATTAACTTCTCCGCCCTCACATTTATTTATAGATCCTGATGCCATTTGCAAAAGCTCTGAATGATGTGGGTCATTTTATTTCGAGGTTTGGGACCCTTGGCTCCCACTAGATCTACAACCTCAGTGACCGCTGGGTTGTGTGTACAGCTCCCATAGCAACCAAAGGCGGCTGCCCGCCCACGAAAGCTGGCCCTGGCTTCCCACCTGAGGATATGGTAAATGATCCTTAAGAATAAAGAAGGCAGGAACACTAGGGGGACGCATGCAGGGGGTGCTTAGGTTAAGGGAGTCGTGACTATGATCAGACCTTCTGGATGTTCCCACAGGGAGAGGATGGCAATGTCTTCCACGACAAAAAGGTCTGAGGGGCCTGGGGAGTCTAATTTTTACCTCCCAGTGTGTCTGCTGCTTGGAGACTCAGGGAGGCGCCCGCTCTTTGCAAGGTGCTGTGGACCACAAATCAATGAAGGGACATCCGCTCACTGGAAGCTGAGGGTCCCCTGGTCTTTGATGGCATCACTGTCCCTTATTCTCACAGCCAAGAACAAAGAATCACAGAGACCTGAGGGAAACTATACTGATGAATGTGATGGAATAAGAGGTAGACTGGTTTTCTGTCCTTGGATCACTAAGGATGATGGCACAATTATTCTAAAATGTCTCGTAAATAGGAGACCTCTCTCAGTCATCTGAATTTCACACCAGTGGACGCTTATCTCTTCTATGTATAGTAAGTATCAGAGTAAAATTAATTCACATTTTTCCCCACCATTTCTGTCCCCCAATCTGGTGCAAAGTATTGCTCAACCAAGGCAAAGAGATGAGAAGAGACACCATCACTGGTTTTGAAGGAATTATGAGACCTAGGTAAGAACTAAACACATATTTGTACTTAAAAAAAAAAAAATCTATTTATTTGAGAGAGAGAGAGCACGAGTAGGAGGGGCCGAGGGAGAGGGAGAGAGAATCTTAAGCAGACTCTGCACTGAGTGCACAGCCTGAAGTGGGGCTCAATCTCATGACGCTGAGATCACGACCTGAGCGGAAACCAAGAGTCGAAGGCTCAACCAACTGAGCCGCCCAGGTGCCCCCATTTTTTATACTTTTTAATTAATTTATTTTTTTAAAAAGATTTTATTTATTTATTTGTGTGTGTGAGAGAGCACAAGCAGGGGGAGCGGTGGGCAGAGTGAGAAGCAGGCTCCTCGCTGAGCAGGGAGCCCAATGCGGGACTCGATCCCAGGACCCCGGGATCATGACCTAGCCGAAGGCAGACGCTTAACCAACTCAGCCACCCTGGCATCCCTTTTTGTACTTTTTAAATAATGGTTTAGTGCCTCGTACCCCCAACATAGGTGTTAATAGACTTAAGCATAAGGGGCAAAGCTGGCCCAGCTGGTTTACTATAAAGCTCTGAGGAGTTTTACATTTCCCATTCTCCAAAGGACAGATATGCCGCATGCCTTCTCAAAAAAAAGCCTGCAAATTGGAGTGTCTCGGAGGGCAGGGCCTCTATTTCCCCGGGAAAAGTGACAGTAAGCCACGTAGCTGTCCGGTGCTCCCTGGCACATGGGTGGCTCTGAGCCGCGCCCAGTGGCCTGCTTCCGTGGACAGCTCCTCTCCGGTGAAGCAGGCCCCAGGCTGCGGTGCCACCTTCCCCTGAGAGCTAGAGCGGGGGCAGGAGAGGCGGTGGTGTGTGGGGTGCACGAGACAGAAAGGTAGGAGACGAGGTCTGACAGCTTTTTTCTAGTTTGAACACCAACATGTTTCACATAAATGGCCTTGTGCTGTGCAGTTTTGAAAATGATGACCTTTGAAAAAGAGGATTGTCATCAATCAGCTTAAGGAAAGCTGACTTACACACAATTAAATGGGCAACTCAATAAAAAGGCGTCTCGAAAGTTTTTAATAGCTTCTAATGTATTCTATGAAGCCTTATTCCAACTGAGCTGACCTTGGAACTCTGTGTTGTAATGTCTAACAGATCCCGGAATAAGTCCCACGGAATCCATTTTCCAGTTTGGGAAACCCTGGTCCAGCAGGAGGAGGGTGGAAGTTCGAGAGATGGTTTCTAGATCCTGGGTCATAGCCCCCACCCCCCTCCACTGAGCCACACACACAGACGTCAGCTTCATGGCTGACAAGAGCTGTCTGGGAAGGTTAAAATTGCGGTAACGAAAGCATAAACAAAGTTTGAATTGCCTTCGCCTGGGCGGCTCAGTCCTTAAGCGTCTGCCTTCGGCTCAGGTCATGATCCCGGGGTCCTGGGATCGAGCCCCACGTCGGGCTCCCTGCTCAGCGGGGAGCCTGCTTCTCCCTCTCCCGCTCCCCCTGCTTGTGTTCCCGCTCTCGCTGTGTCTCTGTCAAATAAATAAAATCTTTAAAAAAAATAAATAAATTGCCTTCTGATGTGGCACAAGCATTACTGTCACTAACAATTCCCTTAGACTATCTTCCTACCTACAGATTAGGCCAGGACTGGCCCCTAGAGCAAAGCCTCCAGGACCCGAATGGCTTCCTGGCTATGGACACAGTAGTTGGCCATTTCAGTAGGAAGGAGCTCCAGGGGGCCACAGTGCTCAACACAGTTCGACTTTTGCCAGCAGACTGGCAGATTCATATGGACCACCATGTGTATGATCTGCAGACTGGCCAGAAAGACCGCATGGGGAAGCAAAGTAAAATTCTATTTGTGACATCGTTCATTTTACAATAAAAGCACACACATTTATGTTTAGGAAGAAGAAAATGAATCCATTGGGTTTTTTTCTTGCGAGCTGGAAAATACTAGACCTGCGAGAATCCGCAGCTCCTGGAGGGCTGCCTGGCCAGGTGGAGGGCTTCAGTCATTGGCCGAACTGCAGTGGGCATATCTAACCCTGCTTGCTCCTCTGGGGGAAGTGTCAGCAATCTCAGATGGGCCAGACAGAGGTTCAAAGGCACATCAAGGGGCCTGGCAGTTTTGGGTAGGTGATAACAGCAAATAGGGGTGCCTCTCCTTTTTTAACCTTCCTTTCTGACCTCCCCAGGCTGGCAGCTTCCATATTTTTTATTTCTTTAGCGTACCCTTGCTAATTCCAAGGAATTGCTGTCAAAAATCCTTTAGAAAAGTATAAGTAAATATAAAAAAGACCTTGCCACCCCAGCCCATCGGGTGGTCCCCGCTTAGGGTACCCTGCCCAAGATGGCATGGACAATAAAGCTCAGTTCCCACAGAACAGCATCTTAGGCTAATTCAGCTGCCATTCTTCTTCTGAGTTGCTTAAAATCTTTTTTTTTTTTTTAAAGATTTTATTTATTTATTTGACAGAGAGAGACACAGCAAGAGAGGGAACACAAGCAGGGGGAATGGGAGAGGGAGAAGCAGGCTTCCTGCGGAGCAGGGAGCCCGATGTGGGGCTCGATCCCAGGACCCTGAGATCATGACCCAAGCCGAAGGCAGACGCTTAACGACTGAGCCACCCAGGCGCCCCGAAAATCTTTTTTTTTTTTTAAATAAAGATTTTATTTATTAGAGAGAGAGAGAGAGCGTGCACAAGCAGGGGGAGTGGCAGGACAAGGAGAAGCAGACTCCCCGCTGAGCAGGGAGCCCGAAGCAGGCCTTGATCCCAGGACCCTGGGATCATGACCTGAGCTGAAAGCAGACGCTCAACTGACTGATCCACCCAGACGCCCCTGCTCAAAATCTTCTAATCACTTCACTTAGAGCAACAGAGCTAAAAGGAGATCGGGTGCCTGGCACCAGAGAGAAATAAAACAGTTATTAAAAGCTCTCATTTTAGGGCGCCTGGGTGGCTCAGTTGGTTAAGCGACTGCCTTCGGCTCAGGTCATGATCCTGGAGTCCCGGGATCGAGTCCCGAATCGGGCTCCCTGCTCGGCGGGGAGTCTGCTTCTCCCTCTGACCCTCCCCCCTCTCATGTGTTCTCTCTCATTCTCTCTCTCTCAAATAAATAAATAAAAATCTTTAAAAAAAAAAAAGCTCTCATTTTAATGTTTTTAAAACATAATCATGATTTGATGATAAATACCAATGTATTCAAATCCATAGTGCCGCCTCTGGAACTCAAGAGGAGCCAACGTGGTTAGGAAATATGGATGACACGAACACAGCATCTGGTTCCATTTTATTAAAAAACAAAACCAAACAAAATTTTGCAATGAAATTTCCTGGAACTCACAATCCTCTTCAAATCTTTAAAGTTGCATTTTTTTTTTTAACCAGTACATAAGAACACGATTGCACTTATTTACATTATAGTCTTCTATATAACAAAAATAGCCATGTTGTACGGTTGAGTGTTTCCAACTATCATCCTTAACATTTCTTCACCAGCCCAGTATGAGACAGACTGTCTATGCTCTCCAAACACATAGATAATAGAATAAAGCAAAATGAAAGTCCATGTCTCCTAATAGAAGACAAATCCCTTTAAGGACAGTTTTTAAACTTCTGTGTATTTCAAGAGAGATATAAAGTGCTCTGGAAGGAGTAAGGTGGGTGCCTGAGGTGGGGAAAAAGGAAAGAGAAAGAGATTTATACCACCCCGCCCCCGCCCCCCCCGAAAAAAAACCCAAACCAATTATACCGCCTTCACCAATCATTTAAATATACCTGTGATTTTGTACAGAAGATGATGTTTGGGTAAAAAAGCTACATAATCCACTACTAAATTTCTCGGCAATGAAGAGCTAACCAAGGTCCAAATTAAAAGCTATCCATGCAAATGTCATCAGGGATCATTTTTTGTGATTTTTGAGTTATGTGGCAAATAAATCCAGGAAGCTGTCCCATGATCTGAATGTGGAGGATGGGTGATAGCATGATTGCACCACCATGTGTATGATCTGCAGACTGGCCAAAGTAAAATTCCACCTGTGACATCATTCGTTTTACGATCAAAGCACAAAAATTCATGTATAGGGAGGAAAAATAAATCCACTGGATTTTTTTTGTCACTAGCAGGGAAATACTAGAGATTGATTTATGGTGCCATTTCTGAATATTTTATAATGGTAAATTCTTTGTAGCACATTTTTTTTTTCGGTGAAAATAACAATGTGTTATATACAAAGGGGTTAAAAGAAGTCGGTTTTTTTCTTTTCACATTATTGAAATGGCAATTGCTGGTCATGGTCTGCAGTCTATAAAATTGGGTATCACATATACACTGCTTGGGAGGCTCCCCTGGAAACTAGAATAATCATCCTCCCAGCTCATGAATATTTTAAAGAACAAGTCCCATTATTTTTCAGGATGAATGGAATGTAACTTTTCACAAGTACAAAATTACTTCAAGTTTTCTAAATATAAGGGACATCCCACTATAAAAATAACAGCCCCTCCCAACCCTCCCCCACCCCCTACATCTCTTTCTAATTATAAAATGGTACAACCATTTCAGATTACTAATGTGAGAGAGCAGGAAGTAAACACATTATTATGTACATGTACAAAACACGTCAGTATTTCACACCATTTACATTCATATGAAAGAAGTCTGTTTATTGATCTTCCATTGTGATTTGACAAGAAGAGAGTTGAGATAAGTTACCAAACACTCTGGCCCTTGCCTTCGAACTCTGCACAAACATTCCGGCCAGAGGCATCTTCTTTGCCAACCGAACTAAGGATACGCTTTGACATTTTGCAGAAGAAAGGGCTGCGGACAGTAAGACCTTCTGTGGGGCTCCCCTTCAACTTCCCCGAGCTTGTGACATTCTTTCCTCTTTTGATAAACGTGGACCAAATTCTCAACTACTGAGGAAAAACTGTATGACGAAAGGCAAATAACTGGTCCTTGAGGAAATGGTGACCCTAGTCAAATTAACCGGCTGAAAGAATAATGGCGATTAGTCCAGCAGGGGGCACCCTGCCCCCATGCAATAACAGCCTACCGACCAGTAAGTACCACAGATGCCAACATAAAGTCCTTACGCTGGCAATCCTTCTTCAACTGCTCTGCTGTGTATTCGTACAGGCAATAGTTTGGTATTTTCTTCAAAAGTGTGGTATACACTCTAATTAAGAAGCTCTCCTACATGAAAATTCTTTGGCTATTTAAAATCTTCACATTCTCAAAGAGAACAATAATTCCGAGTACAATAAAGCGCTAGTTTTGTCTAAGATTTTTTGAGGGAAAAAGGAGACGAAAACACCAGACTTTAAAGATGGTGTGGTACTAAGGCCACGATACATTTTTTTTTTTTTTTTTTAGATTTCTGGATTTAGTAAGGGCAGTCACCAGCCTGCAAGAGAAAATCCCCTAAGGTTTCACAGTTTCGTCTGACTAGGCAACCCACCTTCACCTTTATTTACGAGAACATTAGGAGAAAATTAAACGAGTCAATGGAAGAACATGTGTCCATCTGGATGGTGATTGGTCTTTGGTTTGCATAGCACACACGGTCCTCACATTTTCCTGCTTCTCCGAGCCCTTGTCATCCCAGTAAGGATGACAAGACCACAGACATTCTGCCAAGCAGTGATTCTGGGTACCTTGGGTGGAGCTTCCTTCTTCAGAGAAGTTCTCCCTTGCTCTGTACAGACCTGCAGACCCCTTAAGAGACTATGTTCTTGCCTTATCATTATCATCAACGAACATTTCTCAGGTGGCTATGGAGCGAATAGCTCTGTAGTAAGTGCAAAAGTAGCACAAGGATGAAAAGGTTTTTGATCACTGAGATTCCTGAAAAAGCCGCTTGATTGAGGCAGGCATAGTTCACAGGGTGATAAAGAGATATGTGAGTGACCTCATCGGGTTCTTTGCATAACGAGCAGGTTTTGTCATTAAAGGGCTTGATAATTAAGGATCTACATCTAGCATCTGGAATCACCTCTTTAGTTTTGGGATAATTTCGTGTTGTTACAAGGGTCAAAGTGTAAAGCGTAAACCAATCTATGGGGTTTTTTTTTTTTTTTTAAACAAATTACTGTTCCTATTACAAAGGGCCTGGAGCTGTGAGATGGGGAGACAAGCAGGCAAAGAGAAGAGGTAAGTGATGCTGAGAAACTCATTCCTGTTTCTCAGAATTAATTTATCTTTCAGGCAATCCCAACCTTCTTTGCAACCATGAGTGTTTAACTCATGAGTGTTAAACTCCTTAAAACACACACATACACACCCCAAAACACCGGGTCAGTTCTAAACCTAGGAGATGAGCATTCATTTGGGAAGAGTGCCCATGTTCATATCCGGCCATCCTCTTTCTCACTTCCTGCAGGCTAGTATTCTCACCTCCTTTTAACTGCCATCATCAATTACATGTCGGTGACACACAGCACTGCACAAGGCACCTGTGTCCCTCACCTGGGGAGAATGGTTTCTTTGTGTCTCTTTTTCAATCTTAAGGAAAAAATGGCCTCCCAGATCCCTTACAAAGAGGAAGTTCTTGTGCTAAGAAGCTGAGTTATGAAGCATGCGTGGACATCGGATACGGTCCGGCCCATACATTTTTCTAAGAAGTCCTAATCTCAGGGACCTCTGGTGAACTAGGAAGGTCACAAATGCTCAAGGAAGAAGATAACAGATCTCGACAGCATTCTGGAATTGTGACTTTGCCATTATTTGCCTAGGAGACTTTTCTGGCAAGGAAGCCTGAAAAAAAGGCAATAGCTATAGTGGTCTGTGATTAAATTCGTGCCAGGAGAAGTGAAAACATGACTAACTCCATTATGGAGGAAGTTAATTTGCCTTTAGAGTAGACTGGTTTTCCTCATCAGAAGTGCAAATATAGACATTGCCACACAATGAAAACAAGAAAAACACCAACACCAGTAACAGTAATCACAATAAATGGTAATCACAATAATGATAAGTCTATAGATCCAAAGCCACCAAGGTTTTTTTGTCTTGAAAGATGGGAAAAGAATGTGTGTAGGTGTGTGTACAGAAAGAGACAGGCAGTCCGAGAAAGCCACACACACAGAGACACACAGGAGAGAGAGAGAGAAAAGGGAAAGAAATCTAAGCCAGAGCATATAAAAAATGCTACTGGAAATTGCTGTGGGGGCCCCAGACCACAGAGGGCTGGGTCCTCGGTCCACAGAGGATGTGACTCTGTGTCTCAGATTTTCTGAAAGAGTTTTGATTTAATGAGATTTCTTTGTTTTCAGTCAAGGTGATGCATTCAGTGGATAACTAAATGCCACTTATTTTTAATGCTCTGCAAGAATTTTCAGCTAAACACAACTCATCAATAAGAAAGAACCCCACGTTAGGCTATCTATCACCATTTCTGGTTCTGAAGGTGTGGAGGCCACAAGGATGTCAGCATTTTCTGAAGTAGCCATTGGGCATTGTGGTTTCTGACATAACCAAACCCAGACCTGTGAATGTCCAGAACGAGGGAAATGCTGAAAACAATCTTTGGACAGGGATTTGCCTCCACGGTTACCATCATGACCAGGTGATGTCAGAATAGGTAGGTGCTTTTGCCACTATTCTTTTTTTTTTAGAATTTTTTTTTTTTTTTTTAAGTAATCTCTACATCCAATGTGGGGCTCGAACTCACGCCCCCAAGATCAAGAGTCACATGCTCTACCGACTGAGCCAGCCAGGCGCCCCTCCACTATTCACTTTCTGCCTTTTTCTAACTCCCCTTCGTCCTGCCTAGGTGATGGAGTTAATATTTCAGGGGTAACTAAGCCCTGGAGACTAAATCAATGTTTAGCTGCTGTATTCATGATCAGGGCTCAGTTCTTCTCAAAGGGATCAGCCACACGGAAGAGGCAATTCCTAGAGGTGACTCTCAGTTCTTCTGAGGGAATGGAAATGCTCCCTTTCTTGCCCACAGCCTTCGGGTGAGAGAGGATGCTGACTTCTGAGTTGAGAGCTGGCGATTGTTGGCTGTCATGATTCACCCAATAGGGCTGGGCAGTCACAACCCCAAAGACTTCTTCTCAACGAGGCCACTCAGTCTTGTATTTGCAGTCAGTACGTAACTTCCCACTTTCCCCCCTCAAATCCCCAGGGGGCACTGGCACCGGGACAAGGCCTTCTGCCAGCCCGGAAGCAGGAGAACTAATGGTTGAGGTGAAGTTGGATGGAATTCTCTTTGGCTCCTGAGTGCCACATACCAGTCTAAAGGTTTGTCTTAGACGTGAGGGAGATAATTTTGTTTCAGCACCAAATCAACATGGTTTGTGTGACTTTTTAAAAAAAAAAACTGGTCAGCAAAGTAATGGTAACAGTAATGGACATCAGTGTATGGTTAGAAAGGTCAGGCAGAAATTTCAAAAAGAATGGCCTGAATATTTACCCATTACAAAATAAACAGATCTTTGGGCCTCTCATTAGGCAACTTGGGTGGAGTCTAGTTCTCTCTGGAGGTAATTAGGTTTTAACTTTTTTTTTTTCTTTGCAAGGGTCAGGGGATCTTGTGAGAATTCTGGAGCAGCTCTGGACCTGCGCTGTCCAGCTGGAAGCCACGGGTCACATGTGGCTGTTGAGACAGAGCTGGAGATGTAGCTAGTCCAAAGTGAGGCATGGTGGGAGCTTAAACACACGATGGGTTTAGAGGACTTAGTACAAAAAAGAATGTAAAATATTTCACTTATACTTTTTACATGTTGAAACAAAAAGATTAAATATATTATTAAAATTATTTTGAACTGTTCCTTTTTACTTTTTAAAATGTAGCCAGTAGAAAATGTAAAATTTACATGGGTGACTTGCATTATATTTCCATTGGATAGTGCTGGTCTGGACACTCATTATAGAAAAATGTGCATCTGTAAATATGCATAAAGTTTGCATATACTTTTAGAGGGTTCCCAGCTCAGAATTTCCTCTTTGGGAGGTAGGGGGAAGGTGGTGAAGAAGGTTATGGGAGAAGGTTTTCATTCTTTTAAACCCTTCTATGCTGGTTAAACTTTTTTTGTTTTTTTTAACCACCAAAGCCACAGGAAAATCCTCTGGAAAAAAACCTTTGGTAAATGGAGAGCCTCCCAGGCTCAAGGGTTTTGTAGCAGAACCTCCTTGGGGTAAAGTCATAGGCCTCAGAGGTCACCGGCAGGAAGAGACAACACTCATCAAATGGAGAACTATGCAGTCCAAAAGGCATTTTCTCTCCTGGGTATGGAATACAATTTGTATTTCTTTTGCTGTTGGATTATCCTTCTAATTCCATTTGACCTAAGTTAACACCCAAATGTGCTTCAGGTAGAGCTGACTGAAGGAGCACATGGTGTAACCCATGCTGACCAAGAACAAGAAACACCTTGAGATGAAGAATCCCACATCGAGGACTAGGATATGAAGGTATCCAGAGATTACAAACTCTGTGACTAACAGTGGTTTTAAAACAAGGCAAAACAAAACCACTCTTACTTGGACTTCAACCTTGCATCATGTCGATATTCATTCTCAGCAACATAGGAGTGCTGAATCCCAGAAGCCATTAATGTCTGTTACGTGTCGAGGAACTGCCTCCCTAAGGTAGGAAGGCAGCTATATGTCATCCCCATTTGCCAAAACATGGATTCCCCCCCCCTGCCCCACGCTCATTAGCAGTCTTAAGGCCAGAAGGAGCTTTGGCCATCATCTTGTGAAACTCCTTCATTTCACAGATGAGGGAGAAGGGAGAAGATGAGGCCCAGCAAACATGTGGCTCAGCCCCAGGACTCCTGCCCCCCTTGCCTGCCTTCGCACACTGACACTGGGTTTCATTACAGGACGTGTGAGACTCCCAGAGAGAGGTGAAATTTCTGAAGGTGGTAATCATTTTCCATGCCTTGCTGCCTACTTAGAAAGCATCAAATAGGAAATCATTAAAGATGGTGAAAAAAGAGCAACCAGTAGTCTGGCATCCACTCCCTTGACATCCACTGCATGTTTCAGCAGGGCAGCGGGGATTTACGACACAGCCCAACTCTGGTTTTTGGATGAGTATTAGTGTAATGAGGTGGAAAAGCCTCGTCAAAGATGTAAATACCTCAGTGAGAAAAGCTCTCCTTCTTAGTAACCCACGCAGCCGCGTCGCCTTCTTACAGAGGATGAGGTGATCCGTGATTGTCCAGGGAAACCGTTCACTACCTTAGTCATCTCTGCATCTGGACAGTCTAAATGTATTACAAAATTGCCCACTGAAAAAATAGCACATCTCTGTCATAGTTACAAAAAAAGAATAAAAACGTAAGTAGTTTAAAAATGCCAGTGGGTCTCAGTATCGATTGGATGCCTCTTTTCCTCTCCCTCTTTGTCTCTCTCCGTCAGGAGAAACTTGGTTCGCAAATTCCCATGCTATACTTTTTAGATCAAGTGGTTTATCAAATCACACGTCCCTCCTCACTTGGTATTTAGATGTACTCGGGGAGCCCTGGGAAGCAATCTACTAAGGATTCCCCTAAGCCCTCCCTTGAGGTCTGGTGAGGTTTAACAGAAGTGTGTTGGGATTAAGGTAAAACCCTGGCACTCCCTCAGCCCCCACTGTGTTGGACACTGGGCTCCCAGAGGATTGGGTCTCTTCTGAAGCCTCCATTGCCTGCAGAAGCCACTTGTGGAGGGAAAAAAAGACTGTTCTAGCCTTGGGGAGACCAAGATCACAGACATTTTTGCTTTTGGGAAGAATATGTGGTATATGGTCTTAAAACTGGGCTTGCAGTCCCAGCTACAAGCCCTACAGTCAGTCATGAAGAACAGCGCTACAGCCCTGGAGGGCGACTTCGGAGTTTGGAATTTCAGTCAAAGTCTTTAAGATCCAAGCAAAAATGAAGCTTCTTTCTCACGTCACGTGGGCCATTAACAGAGCCAGGCAAGTGGAAACCAGCGTGATGTGGCTGTAAATAATTAGTAGCCTCAGCAGAGTCAGAGCTTAGTGCTAGGGTCTCTGGCAGCTAGGATCTTTAAGATCCACTTAAAAGAATTTAGATTCTTAAGGAAAGCTGGCCTTAGACTATTTCAGGGTGCTGAGGCACTTCCCAAAGCCATGCACACTTCATGCTGAGAGGTCATGGCCATTCATCTCAGAGATGGCGTGTACAAACTGATCATAGCAGGAACTGGTGCTTCGAAACAGAACTCTCTACAAAAGCTGGAGTCAACCAAAGGGGTGGACATCATGTAAACTGCACACAGTCTTTAAAAAGAAACTGCCAAAGAAATCAAACCACATTCCCCAAACAACAAAACAAGACCTGGAAGAAAAGGAAATAAAACTAAGAAGCCCTAAATGTGTCCTGTCTGTTTTAGGAGCTTCTGAAGTGTGTGTGTCTACAAGGACATGGGAGGGAAAATCAGCTTTCGACTTCTCAGCTGCCAAGGCCGTGGACTGTTGTACAGATGGAGAGACGGCTTCCTGATTAACATGACTTTGGATATTGCTTTCATTACCATTCTTAAGCCGAGCGCCGTGGAGTTACCAAGTGGTTCTGGAGGTGTGTGTAGCCGGTCCAATTCTTGAGGTTCTCCTCCCTTCCTTCCCCTGGGGTCCTACCATCCCTTTGTTCTATAGTCACCGTTTCAAGACTTGACCTCTTCACAGTCTTGGTCAGTGGAAAGGTCTACATCAGATAGTCCAACTTCCATGGCCATAATCAGCGAGATGTCAGAATCACTGCTTACAGCTGGTTCCTGCTCACCTGGGAGGAGAAAGCAAAGTTCATGGTGAACACTGAACTATGTTTTTGGAGGCTGGTTATTTTAATACAATTGTCTTTAGGAACATTTCTTTGATGGCCGAGAGAAGGTATTAGAAAAATTGGCTATTTTGTAAAACAAAAACAAAAACTAGGTAGAGCCTTATCTCACACGATAGCCCAAAATAAATTCTAAATAGGTCAAAAAGTTAAATGTAAAGAAGAAACTAATATAGCTAGAAGAAGATATATCTTATAAGTATATATCTAAGTAGGAAAATATCTAATATATCAAAGTAGGGCAAGAAACTCTATGTGGAAAAGCAGTTGAGCAATTCACAGAACAGACTGATAAATGTGCATAAAATTCAAAAAATATTAAAAACATGAAAGATAAGATTAAAAGGCATATATCAAACTTGAAATATTTGTGAACATTTCACAAAGGGCTGCATTTTCAACATATAGCTTTGAAATCAGTATGAAAAACTAACCAGAAAAATGGGCACAGGTTGCTATTAGAGAGCAATACAAGATAAATGACCAATAAACTATAAGGTAAAAATGAGCTACTTTTTTTTTTTTTTAATAAAACTTCTCTCTTGAAGAAACACAGCATTACACTGAGGCAGGTACTTTGATATTACTGCATGTAGAACCGTGCCATTTTCACTCAGTAATTTCATTTCCAGACTTTATCATAGAGAAATAGCCATGCAAAAATATTCACTGAAGCATTATTTATAGCAGCAAAACACCTCAAGTAACAAAGTCCAACAATATAGAATACCTGAGGAAAGTGTGTTACTTCTAGAACACAATCTTCTTGCTGTAACAACTAAAGTAACATTTCCAAAGAACTTCTAGTTACATAAGAAAATGCTCACAGTATTCTTCTAAGTGAAAACTGAAGTGTTCAAAGCTTTATATGCAGTGAGGCTTAGAGAGAAAATTAACAAGAAGCAAGAGAAAGTTAACTAGAAGCAAGGAAGCCAAAAATGCTAGTCGGAGTTGTCTCAAGTTTTGGGATTTACATTCATTTTCTTTAAAAAAATTTTTTTTCAGTTTTACTTCCAAACATTCTGCAATGAACAAATATCATTTATTCACTCAAGACATAGTGAGTCCCCACTATGTACAAAGGACTGGGCTAGATGTGAGGGACCTAGGTAAGAGCAAGACAATTCCTGTCTTCAAGGAGCTTACTGTCTAGTAGGCAGGCACACCATGAGACAGGCAATCACAACACAGTGGGATATGCATGATTGCTGGAAGATGCAGCTGGTGTTATAGGAGCAGGTAAGAGGGCTATGTGACCGACTCCTGAGTCAGAAGGCTTCCCATCGGGTGTAACGTCTACACTGAGTCCTCAAGGAGAACTCGCATTCTAGCCAGATGATTAAGAAGGAAGCATCTCTTAGCACTAGCAATAGTATGTATGGATAGTTATGTCTGAGCATGATAGGGAGCCTTGTACAGATGGACATTAGATCACATTTAAATATGACTGGAATGCAAGGTCAAGCCAGGGACTCTGAAGGGAGACTGAGGTGCTCAGCTGCATAAAAGGCAGCTTTAAAACCAAAAGACCTTGCATGTCCCATTATCCTGTTGAAGAAACACGTAATTAGAAGACCGGCAAAATGTCGAAGTACTGAAGAAGCTGGTGGTTATAATACTTTTGCTCTGATAATCACTGATATAATTTATTTCCTGTTGAGGTACAGTTAAAGAGTTAAAGAGCATATATGAGTTTTATGAAAGATGTAAATTCTTTTTTTAAGTTTAAATTCAGTTTACTTAACATACAGTATTATTAGTTTCAGAGATAATTTAGTGATTCATCAATTACATATAACACCCAGTGCTCATTACATCAAGTGCCCTCCTTAATGCCCATTATCCTGTTACCCCATCCCTCCACCCAACTCCCCTCCAGCAACCCTGTTTGTTTCCTACAGTTAAGAGTCTCTTATGGTTTATCTCCCTGTTTTCATCTTTTTTCCCCTTCCTGTCTGCTATGTTCATCTGTTTTGTTTCTTAAATTCGACATTTGAGTGAAATCATATAATTGTCTTTCACTGACTGACTTATTTTGCTTAGCCTAATACCCTCTAGTTCCATCCACATCATTGCAAATGGCAAGATTTCATTCTTTTTGATGGCTGAGTAGTATTCCATTATATATATACACCACATCTTCTTTATCCATTCACCTGTCAATGGACATCTGGGCTCCTTCCACAGTTTGGCTATTGTGGACACTGCTGCTATAAACATTGGGGTGCAGGTGCCCCTTCGAATCACTATGTTGTATCCTTTGGATAAATACCCAGTAGTGCAATTGCTGGGTCATAGGGTAGCTCTATTTTTAACTTTTTTTTTTTTTTAAAGATTTTATTTATTTATTTGTCAGAGAGAGACATAGCGAGAGAGGGAACACAAGCAGGGGGAGTGGGAGAGGGAGAAGCAGGCTTCCTGCTAAGCAGGGAGCCCGATGCGGGGCTTGATCCCAGGACCCTGGGTTCATGACCTGAGCCAAAGGCAGACGCTCAATGACTGAGCCACCCAGGTGCCCCTATTTTTAACTTTTTGAGCAACCTCCATACTGTCTTCCAGAGTGGCTGCACCAGCTTGCATTTCCACCAACAGTGTAAGAAGGTTGTCCTTTCTTCACATCCTTGCTAACATCTGTTGTTTCCTGAGTTGTTAATTATAGCCATTCTGACTGGTGTGTGGTGGTATCTCGTGGTTTGGATTTGTATTTCCCTGATGCTGAGTGATGCTGAGCATTTTTTTATGTGAAAAGACAGTGAATTCTTTTTTTTAAAGATTTTTTATTTATTTATTTGAGAGAGAGAGAATGAGAGAGAGCACATGAGAGGGGGGAGGGTCAGAGGGAGAAGCAGACTCCCTGCCGAGCAGGGAGCCCAAGACAGTGAATTCTTAAGATGCTTAAAAGGAAACAAACAGAACTAACACAGAGTTATGGCCTTAAGAATCAGCTTGAGGGGCGCCTGGGTGGCTCAGTCATTAAGCGTCTGCCTTCGGCTCAGGTCATGATCTCGGGGTCCTGGGATCGAGCCCCACATCGGGCTCCCTGCTCAGCCGGGAGCCTGCTTCTCCCGCTCCCCCTGCTTGTGTTCCCTCTCTAGCTGTCTCTCTCTCTCTGTCAAACAAATAAATAAAATCTTAAAAAAAAAAAAAAAAGAATCAGCTTGAGAGAAATGGGCTGTTTCACAGGGCTATATCCAACCTAAAGACTGAGCTCTACTAGGTTTCCTAGGCCCATAAATGCATGAGGTTCACAGAAACAGATCAATGGCTAGAATAAGACTCTGGAAGCAGCTCTTGGCAGATAGAGGTATTTAGTATTTGAAAACGGGGGCGCTCCACAAAAAATAAAACTAGTCATTTAGGGAAAAAAAGGCAAAATTGGATCCCTGCCCCACACCTCTCAACAAAGTACATACTCGGCTGGCGAGTACGTGTGTCTAGACCTATATTTATAACTACGTCTGCACTACGTCTGTGTCCGTACCTGTAGCCCATTTTTAATTTATTTATTTTAATTGTGCGCACGCACTTCCTCTGCTCCAGAGCCGTCTGGCACTTTCAATCTCTGACTTCTGGGGAATTCTTTTTGCAAACTGGGATGGTTCTCCCTTCCCTCATGGCTGCTTTGCATTTGTTTTCTCCGCAGGGCCCTGGCTTGCTGCTGTGCAGGCTATGCTCAGCACCACTCCAGAGAAAGCCTTCACTTTGGAGTCGGGGTAAGCAGTGTCCACTAGATTGGGACAGTGCACAACCTGCACAGCTGGACACAGGAGCTCGCTCTGTTTCTCAGATCCACAAAGTCCCTGGCCCTTCATCCATTTTTTTCCAGTTGCCCAGATCTTGTTATTGTCTTTTTACCTTTTCCCTGGCCATGTTGGTCTACACCTTACAAAATCCCTTTGCTATAGTTTATGTGGGGTTTTAGGAGAGGCTGGAAGTAGTTTCATATGTTCAGTCTACTCGTTTCCCTCAGCACTCTCCTAAAGCATCACTTTTACAAGGAGAAATAGATATAATTAAAATTATATGCACGAGAACTGGGAACCCATTTCACTTCATGAGACTGTATTCTAGTCTCAGCTATATAACTACACATGTTACTTTGTCTAAGTCACTCTGTCCTCTAGGGCTAAAGTTTCGTTGTCTATAAAATGAGTCTGGACTGGGTATCTCAGAGTCCTTTCCAGTTGTTACAGTTTGTACCTGCATATGTTGATGTCACCCTAGCACGGTGCTGCTATACGCTGCTTTCGCAATGAATATTTACTAGAACTCCCACTGAGGAACAAAGTTATAAGCCTTTCTTTTTGCACAACCCTCCAAATTATTGTTTGTTCTTGAAAACAGTCTTTTCTTAATACAAAAGGGTCTGTTTGTTGTATATTTAATACAAGTATATACTAAATGGGAGAATTCACTATTTGAGGTGTAGTGAAAGCTGAATTATTCTTATTCCTGGAGATAAAAAATGAGGGTTATATTATAGAGATATAATCTCTATTTTTTTTTTCCCACAATGGTCCATGAACTAATTCAGCTCATGAGCAGCCAAAATTTTCAGCTCACAGTTATACTGTCAGTCAACCAAGGAGCTCATCATGGAGTGGTTCTATGCCTTTCATAAATATCTAGTTAGAAGAAAAACTAAAGGCGGCCCACATGAAGGGCTGATTAGTCAGAGTTCTATAAAGACAGCTCCATGTACCTGCACTGGCAGGTTCTCACCTTCACTCCTGGCTTTTCAAGCCACTGGCCTCAGCAGATTCTATGGACTCATTCTCACTGTGGTGTTTTCTAAGTTGGACCTTGTGAATCGAAAGAAAGAAAGGCCATGGGGACTGATGGAACTATGGCTGCTGAATTCATGATGCTAGTTTGGAAACTGACCGTCCCGCACAGCTCCAGGCAAAGATGAATTCGAATCAATGAAATCAGATACTTGCCAA